ATTGATTCCCAAGTTTTTTTTTTTTTTTGAGGTTATTGTGAATGGGATAGTTTTCCTAATTTCTTGATTTCTCCTTCATCATTGGTATAGGAACAAAATTGATTTATGGGTATTAATTTTGTATCCTGCTACTTTGCTGAAGTTATTTATGAGTTCTAGAAGTTTTCTGGTGGATTTTTTGGGTCTTCTAAATATAGAATCATGTTGTTGGCAAATAGAAATAGTTTGAGCCCTTCTTTTCCTATTTGTCTCTTCAATTTCTTTCTTTTGCCTAATTGCTCTGGCTAGAGTTTCAAGGGGTATGTTGAATAGAAATGGTGAAAAAAAGGGCATCCCTGTCTTGTTCCACCTTTTAGAAGGAATTTTTGAGTTTTTCTCCATTTAGAATGATATTGGCCTGTGTTTGTTGTAGGTAGCTTTTTTCAATGTTGATGTATGTTGCTACTATCCCTAGTTTTAAACATGAAGGGGTGCTCTATTTTTGTCAAATGCTTTCTCTGCATTTATTGAGTTAATCATGTGACTCTTGTCTTTAAGTCTATTTACGTGGTGAATTATATTTATTGATTTCTGTATGTTGAACCAACCTTGCATCCCAGGGATATACTCTAGTTGACCATGGTGCATTATCTTTTAAATATGTTTTTGTATCAGATTTACTAGTATTTGATTAAGAATTTTTGCATCTGTATTCATCAGGCTTATTGGTCTGAAGTTTATTTTCTTTGATGTATCTTTGTCTGGTTTTTGTATCAGGGTGATACTAGATTCAGAGAATGAGTTTGGAAGGATTCCCTCTTTTCTCTTGTGGAATAATTTGAGGAGGATTGGTGTTAATTTTTCTTTAAGTGTCTGGTAGAACTCTGCTGAAAATCCATCTGGTCCTGGGCTTTTCTTTGTTGGTAGGCTTTGGATGGCATTTTAAATTTGATGACTTGAAATTGATCTGTTTGTGTTTTCTATGTCCTCCTGGTTCAATTTGGGCAAGTCATGTATCTCTTGAAATTTATTGATGTCTTCAAGGTCTATTTATATACATATATATTTTATGCATACTTATAAACATATTTTAAATTTGTTATATATATGATAGTAGAATGCATTACAATTCATATTACACATATAGAGTATGATTTTTCAAGTCTCTGGTTGTACACAAAGTAGACACCATTTGTGTCTTCATACATATACTTAGGGTAATGATGTCCATCTTATTCCATCATCTTTTCTACCCCCATGTCACTTCCCTCCCCTTTGCTGTATCTAGAATTAATCTAATCCTCCCATACCCCCCACCCCCCACGTTATGAATAAGCATCCTTTAATCAGAGAAAACATTCAGCCTTGTTTTTTTGGGATTGGCTAACTTCACTTAGCATCATATTCTCCAGCTCCATCCATTTACCTGCAAATGCCATGATTTTATTCTCTTTTAATGCTGAGTAATATTCCATGGTGTACATATGCTGTACCATTCATCTACTGAAGGGCATCTAGTTTGGCTCCACAGTTTAGCTATTGTGAATTGTGCTGCTATTAACATTGATGTGGCTGTGTTCCTGTAATATGCTGTTTTTAATTCCTTTGGGTATAGACTGAGGAGTGGGATATCTAGGTTAAATTCAAGATTTAATTTATTGGTGCATAAATTTTCATAAATAGTTTCTGATTACCCTCTGTATTTAAGTGGTGTCTGTGATGATATTCCTTTTTAACAACTGACTAATAATTTGAGTTTTTCCTCTGTTTCTTTTTGTCATCTCAGCTAAGGGTTATCAATTTTGTTTATCTTTTCAAAGAATCAACCTTTAGTTTTGTTGATTTTTTTTTTTTGAAAAAACTTTTTTGGGGCATTTCAATTTCATTGCTTTCAGCTCTGATTTTAATTATTTCCTGTCTTCTAATACTTTGGTTTTGATTTGTTCTTCTTTTTCTAGGGCTTTGAGATGTAAAGTTATGTCATTTATCTGGTGACTTTCTATTCTTTCAACGAATGAGCTCAGTGCAATGAACTTGCCTCAGAACTGCCTTCATAATGTCCCAGGGATTTTGATATTTTGGGTCACTATTTTCACATACCTCTAAGTATTTTATTATTTCATTCCTGATTTCTTCAGGTATCCACTGGTCATTCAATAGTGTATTATTTAGTCTCCATGTGTTACAGTATCTTCTATTTTTTATTTTATTGTTAATTCTTAATTTTGTTCCATTATGATCTGATAAAATGCAAGGTGTTATCTCTATTTTTGTATTTGTTAAGAGTCACTTTGTAGCGTAAAATATGGTATATATTTTAACCATTCAATCCCTGAACCTGAGTCATTTAACACACAAACAAACAAAGAAAGAGAGAAAGAGGAAAGAAAAAAATATATAAAATAAAATAAAGGTTCTTTTTTCATAGAAAAATATTTATTGCTACATAAATATTGACATATATTATATTATATATTAACATTTCATTAGATATGAAGCATATTTATGGTACTATATTATCACATAAAACTTTAAATTAAAAAATAGCGATTTTTTGTATTTTAAATTTTTTTTATTATTTTTTAATATGTTCTTTTTAGATATACATGACAGCTCTAGAGTGTATTTTGACATATTATACATACATGGAATATTTTTCTAATTAGGATCCCATTCTTGTGATTATACATGATGTGGAGTTTCACTGGTTGTGATTCATATATTAACAAAGCAAAGTTATGTCCAATTCGTTCTAGTGTCTTTCTTATTTCCATCCTCCATCCCATACCTTCATTTCCCTTGATCTAATCCAATGAACTTCTATTCTTCCCTCCATCTCCCTTATTTTTGCATTAGCATCCACATATCAGTAACAATAAATGATAGCAAGGATTTCAGGGAAAAGGGTACACCCATACATTGATAGTGGGACTACAAACTGGTGTAACCACTATGGAAAATGGTGTGGAGATTCCTCAGAAAACTTGAAATGAAACCACCATTTTACCCAGTTATCTCACCCCTCAACATATACTCAAGGGATTGAAAATCAGCATCCTATATTGACATGGCCACATCAACATATATAGCAGTTCAATATCCAAACTATGGAACCAACCTAAGGCCCTTCAACAGATGAATGGACAAAGAAAATGTGGGATACACAGTGGAATATTACTCAGCCATAGATAAGAATTTATGGTACTTGCCAGTAAAGCATAGAACTGGAGACTATCATGCTAAGTAAAATAAGCCAATCAAAGTAAAGTCACATCCTTTGTGTCTTCATATATGTACTTAGGGTAATGATGACCATCCCATTCCACTATCTTTCCTACCCCTATGCCCCGGTCCCTCCTCTCCCTCCCCTTTTGCTCTTTGCCCTTTCTAGAGTTCATTTAATTCTCCCATCCTTCCACCACCACCCCCCTCGCCCTGCAACATATTATGAATCAGCGTCCTTAAATCAGAGAAATCATTCGGCATTTGGTTTTTTGGGATTGGCTAATTCCATGGAGCATTATATTCTCTAGCTCCACCCATTTATCTGCATATGCCATGATTTTATTCTCTTTTAATGCTGAATAATATTCCATTGTGTATATATACCACATTTTCTTTATCCATTCATCTACTGAAGGGCATCTAGGTTGGTTCTACAGTTTAGCTATTGTGAATTGTGCTGCTGTAAACATTGATGTGGCTGTGTCCCTGTAGTATGCCTTTTTAAAGTCCTTTGGGTATAGGCTGAGGAGTAGGATAGCTGGGTCAGATGGTGATTCCATTCCCAGTTTTCCAAGAAATCTCCATACTGCTTTCCATAATGGTTGCACCAATTTACAGTCCCACCATCAGTGAATGAGTGTATCCATTTGCACACATCCTTGCCAACATTTAATGTTGCTTGCATTCTTAAAAATTGACATTTTGACTGGAGTGAAATGACGTCTTAGAGTAGTTTTGATTTGCATTTCTCTAATTGTTAGAGATGTGGAATATTTTTTCATATATTTGTTGATTGATTGTATGTCTTCTTCTGAGAAGTGTCTGTTTAGTTCCTTGGCCCCTTTATTGATTGGGTTATTGTTTTTTTTTTTTTGGTGTTAAGATTTTTGAGTTCTTTATATATTTTAGAGATTACTGCTCTGACATGCGTGTGGTAAGAATCTGTTCCCAATTAGTAGGCTCTCTATTCACTTCACTGATTGTTTCTTTGGCTGAGAAGAAGCTTTTTAGTTTGAATCTATCCCATTCATCGATTCTTGATATTAATTCTTGCACTATAGGAGTCTTATTAAGAAATTTGGGGCCTAATCTGACATGATGGAGATTTGGGCCTACTTTTTCTTTTATTTGAAGTGGGGTCTCTGGTTTAATTCCTAGGTCCTTGATCCACTTTGACTTAAGTTTTGTGCATGATAAGAGATAGGGGTTTAATTTCATTTTGTTACATAAGGATTTCCAATTTTCCCAGCACCATTTGTTGCAGAGGCTATGTTTTCTCCAATGTACATTTTTGGCACCTTTGTCAAATATAATATAACCGTAATTATGTGGGTTATTTCTGTGTCCTCTATTTTGTACCATCGATCTACACATCTATTTTGGTGCCAGTTTAGCTTCCTTGTTCTTCTTCAACCAATTCAATCTCTACCTGCAAGTAATATCCCTTTGACTCAAGAAATAACCAGAATAGACCAATAACTAGGAAAGAATTTTTAAAGAGTTTCAAAGAAGTTTGATACCCCCAGCAAATGTAAGAAATGAAATGAAATTAATAAGCATATAGTTAAGATATAGAATGTAATTACTAAGCATATAATTATTTATACAAAGAGTGTACCTTATTATAAAATGTCTATATCTTCTTTGCTATTAACAACATGACTAAACTCCCTTGTAAATCATGGAGATATAAGCACAAATTTTTATTCAAATATAAAATTAGTTAAATAGGTTTACCAAAACCAGAAATGTATATTTTGCAGTATGTATTAAAATGCTTTTTTTTTCTTTTCTAGGATACATCGAGCAAGAGCATATTTTAAAAGGAGTTTTTATAAACAAGCAATTCAGGACTTTTCTATTGCTATTCACTTAGATCCTAATAACTGGTTGTCATTCTATTATCGAGCTTGCTTATTTAGAAAGACTAACCCTCGTAAAGCACTACAGGATTATAGCATTTCAGGTACTTTGCTTTCAACTGCACATACATACACATCTGATCTGAAGTTCAGCAGCTTAGTCTCATAGAGGGAAATATGGATGTGGGATCACTAATATAATATCTATAATACTATATACTAGTATTCATATACTTACATATTAAATATATTTTAGATTATACTATTGTATATGTATACATACCTCTGTGTGTGGATATATATATATGTGTGTGTATATATATATATATATATTATATATATATATAGCACTTAGGACAGTAATAAAATTGTCCAATAAATGTTAAAGATTATTATTATTATCCTAGAAAATATCTTGAGGATCCTTTTTGGTCACGAATGGTAAAACTTGCTAAGCTAGCCTGTAGGAAAAGATTAAAGCCAAAATCATATTGGTCTACTCTGAACAATTAGATAATAGAGATTTTAAATTATCGTGATAGTCTAGAAAGGGGAGAACTAAAGAGGCGAAAGTTGGAAAATTGGAAAATGTGAGGAAAAAGCCTTTAGAGAAAGATCAGAGAGAAATAGATTCAGCCAGATGGCAGGGCCGTCTGAGACAGGGTCTCAGTGTGTATTTATATATATTATATAAATACACTTACAAGCCACATGATTGAGCTACAAGCATTCTAATATGTCCTTTTGGTATGTGTGAATAAATGTGGGCATATGTTTTCTGTAATTATGACAAGGGGAAACTATTGTGTTAAGGAAATCTTTCTGTAAATAGAGTTCTGGAAACCATTCTGGAAACTCCATTCTATTTCCTAGTTAGCTTGCTTAAATGGCATTAAACTGTCCTGGTGGTTTGGATCCTATTTAAGTCAGCCCATGGATTTGTCAAATTTCATTTTTTTTTTTAGAATTTTAATATTTATTTATTTTTTTAGTTTTCGGTGGACACAACATCTTTGTTTGTATGTGGTGCTGAGGATCGAACCCGAGCCGCACGCTTGCCAGGCAAGCGCGCTACCGCTTGAGCCACATCCCCAGCCCAAATTTCATATTTTTGATGCTTAAATTAAAAATAGGCTTTGAGAAATCTTAGAAGCTAAAGTATGTTAACAGCCAAAAATGGTAATGTCTTCTTTGCCCTCAGTCAGTGCGTCCCTGGTTTATATGTGTCCAGCACAATTCTTGATCATGAGTAAGTGACCAGTAAATAGTCAACAGTGACATGGATTGAGCCTATCCTAGCAGATGAAATCCAGCCAGAACCCAACTCTCCAATGACTGTGCTTACCCAGGTGCAAAATTGTAGAATCTCATCGTTCTAGATTCTCTTTATCTGGAAATTAAGGAGAGATAGATTTCCTTTCCTGTGGGAGTCTGGCTAAGATGATTGCTGCTAAAATATTTCTAAGTCCTTTTGCCTCCTGAAGTCATCTTGTCCAATAATATTCAGCTAAAATAGCCCCGTTGTCTCCTGAAAGGAGCCTAGGGCTCTGCCTTCTCTTTCTAAGGACTCTTGGGATGGTATTCTGAAGATTTTCATTCAATGATCTCATCATTTCAGTCTAATTTCTGCCCTCAGATGATTCTACATCGCTCGCCCTCTTACTTCTTGTAGCTCCTGTTCTCTCTGCTTTGATTCTTCTTAGGTCTTTCCTTCAGTCACCAAAGTAGCATCAACAGAAACAATTCATGCATAATACAGAACAGCTTAGAGTTAGGAGGATAAATGTGGCACACACAACTTAAAGATCTCTGTAGGTTTTCCTGGCTCTATCGGTGTGTCTCATACGGCCCTGCCATCTGGCTGAATCTATTTCTCTCTGGTCTTTCTCTAAAGGCTTTTTCCTCTTTTCCAATTTTCTCCTCTTTAGTTCTCCCATTTCTAGACTATCACGATAATTTAAAATCTCTATTATCTAATTATTCAGAGTAGACCAACTTGATTTTGGCTTTAGTCTTTTCCTATAGGCTAGCTTAGCAAGTTTTATCATTCGTGACCAAAAAGGATCCTCAAAATATTTTCTAGGATAATAATAATAATCTCTAACATTTATTGGATATTTTTTTACTGTTCTAAGTGCTATATATGGAATATCTTAATGACAGTTCAAACAATGACATCAGGTAGGTGCTATCATCATCTAAATTCTATTGATAGTAAAGCCTAAGAATAGAAAGGTTAAGTAACTCTAATACTTTTTTCCTTAAGAATTTCCATTGTTTTAGAGCAACTTTCCATACTGTAGTGCTTTTTCCCTTGATAGCCTACCATGCTGGAACTGAGCAGTCATATGGCATTCAGGTGGTCATTTACTTACTCTAGGATCATTGCAGATGCTGATTACCCTTCCTCAAACTCAGAAGTGAGAATATTTGTGTTCCAGACTAAGAATATTTTTGGTAAAACTTTCTTCCTAACCCAGGAAGGGCTTGAGAAGCTCAGAAGATATATGTCAAACCTTGTGTAAAACATATTTAACACACTAACTTATTTTTTAAAGTGAATGGGAGTCAGTAAGCCAGAGACATGAGGTGATTTCTAGGCAGGTTACTGGTAAGAGCGCACACTGGAATCACCAAGAGGAGGTTCTTTTTATCATGTAAATTGTGATTTCATAGTCAAGTTGCTTGCCTCATTTCTAAGTTTTGCCTGCCTTAGAGGAGCTCCTTTGTGGCTACCTTTCCTGGTTTATGAATAAGCCTGACTTCTGCCATATGTCCTGATCTGGGTTAGTACCTGAACCTGTTCTTTGGCCAGAAACAGTGTCTTTGTGATAATAACAGGCTGTCAAGGGTAATGACACCCTCCTGACCGGAGTTATATTCTATGCCCAACTTTGCCAATGCCTTGCATCATGACTCTGGTCAATGTACCTGGCCCCCTTGAACCTTAATCTCCTTCTCTGGAAAGTGAGTGGACTCCATTAGATTACCACCAGAATTTCTTCCAGTTTTAATGTGTTTGTGAGCCTTAATAGCCACATTGTTAACTAATAAACAAATGCATTTTTTATGTTCAATACTGTTTATACTCACAAAATACATTCATCATAGATATATTTTGTTTTATGTAATGTTAAAAAAGAATAAGCAGTAGAAAGGGTGTAGGCTGAAATCTGACCCAGATATGATTGTTCAAAACCTGAATAAAACATATTCTTTTATTTTAAAGTTCTCCTAAATGACGGCTATGAGAATTTTAGTTGTTTTCTACATCGGGGCATAGTCTATGTAAATCTAAAACTTTGGTGGCTGGCAATTTGTGACTTTGAAGCTGTTATTTCTCTAGAAAGGTATGTTTTATTTTCATACTGGTTTTACTTTTGTTTAAAATTAAAAAAAAAACAAAATAAAAGAAACAGTTTTTTCCCCTTATCATCGATAACTTAAAATGAGGCAATTAAAAATCATTCTAGAATTAGAATACCACTAAAATTAGACTACTGCTAAAATAAGAATTGTTTGTGTTAGGTGAGAGGTTGAATAGGTTTCAAAGGAGTTATTTCCATAGATAATAAATCAACAAGCTCTTAGGAGGGGTTGGAGGATACCCAGGCTAGAGCTTTTGGAAATTTCTGGAAAATCATTATCAAGTTTTAAAATAATGACAAATATTCTGCTTAATGTATCATTGCTATGCACAAAATACAACTCAGTGGAAAGAAATCCACTATTTTGAGCTCCTGATTTCACTTTTTAGTAAAGCAAAGGAAAAAGCCAGTAACATTTAGAGCATAGTTTCAGGAAGGAACACAGATTGAAAGTCAAACATATTAGTCAAAGAGCCAGATGTAAAATACAGATTTTAATTAAATAATTCCCTTCTTTCCAATGAAGTGTTCATTAAATGGAAGTTGTCAGAGTAACAAATCAAGCTAATTTTATGTTGACTAGCAGACTGTTTACTTAGCTATCTAATGTGAACTTTGAACTTGTCTCCGGAAAGTCGTGGAGGATAGTTCCATAATGATTGTCGTGATTTTCTTTTGGACCTTTTTGAGCCAGAAAGGAAAAGAAAAGACTTTTCTCGTGCAAAGAGTCAGAAAGTAGGTGGTAGGAACTGTGGTGTCTAGGCAAAGGGTAAGGGGTTCCCTGAGATTGGACCATAGAATGTGTAGTTTCCTTATTTTGAAAGAGACATCAACAGTCTAGCTATTGTGAATTGTGCTGCTATGAACATCGATGTAGCAGTGTCCCTGTAGCATGCTCTTTTTAGGTCTTTAGGGAATAGACCGAGAAGGGGAATAGCTGGGTCAAATGGTGGCTCCATTCCCAGCTTTCCAAGAAATCTCCATACTGCTTTCCAAATTGGCTGCACCAATTTGCAGTCCCACCAGCAATGTACAAGTGTACCCTTTTCCCCACATCCTCGCCAGCACTTGTTGTTGTTTGACTTCCTAATGGCTGCCAATCTAACTGGAGTGAGATGGTATCTTAGGGTGGTTTTGATTTGCATTTCTCT